TATATTATACTCATATATATATATATATATATATATATATATATATAAAGATGTAACATAAATGATGTGATATTTTACTAATATGACATATGATAATGTCATTTTTTAGCTAAATTATGCTTTTGATCATTAATCTTATTTTTTATTCATTAAATTTGTTTATATAATGAATAGAAAATTCAATTGACATTCAAGTTCATAAGAACTGTAAATATATATAGTGAAAATTGTATGAGAAATATATCTAACAAGCGATTAGAAAATAATATAAAATTTGATTCTTTTTGAATTATTCAAATGTTTTTTAGGCTTATTTTTATACAATTTTCATCATATCTAGAAATATTTTTTTTTGCACTTTAGTTAATTTTTGTATAAGTCAATTCAATAAAACAAGTTTCAAGTACAAAATAAGTTAAAAATGAATTCAAAATCATATTTCAAATTTGAAAACAATTATTAGTCCAATAATATTAAAACAATTATTATTTGAATATGATTAAATCTATCCGAATTTAAGAGGTAAAAGACTAAAATAAATATTTTAAAAGATAAAAATTTAAAATAAATATAAAAAATAAGATAAAAGACTAAAAATATAATTTAACATTTTTTTATGGGATGACATGTGATGACATCAACAAACTAACATTATTGTTGAGGTTGTTTAAATTTTATAAATATCTTTTTAGTTCTTGTAAAATTTTACTTTGTTTTTTATTCTTTTAAAACTTGTAAATATTATTTTTGGTCTTTAGAAAATGTTTTTGACTCTTGTAAAATAAGTAAATTTTGCTTTTACTCTTTCTAAAATATTTTTATTTTATTTTCACCATTCTAAGATCTAAAATAATTATTTATGATCCTTATAAATGATTTTAAGGTAGATAAATAATATTTATTTTAAGAACATATACTAAATTTTAGAAATGTCATATATAGTAAGAATGAGAATATATTAGATCAGACCAAATTTTAATTATATAAGTCAAATTTATTTTTATAAAATTAAAGTCCAAATTTAACGTATTATTTATCATAAACCTTTTTATAGATTTAATCTAACCTTGTTAAAAATTTGGGCTAACCTATTAATCTTTTTGAAAGTCAATTTAAATTATTAATTTTAAATAAATCAATAAATTTAGATTTAAATAAATCAATAAACATATTTTTAAAAATATGTGCGAGTGTTTTTTAATCTACTTAAAAGAAATATTCACTTTATTAAGATAATCTTATAGTTTATTTTTTATTTTTACAAATATTTACTATATCCTATTTGAAATATTCTAAGTTATTAATCATTAAAAATGAAGGAAAAGAACATTTTCTATTTTTTATATCTTAATTTTTTTTATAAAAAATATAAATATTTAAGCATAATATAAATTAAAAAATATTGATAATTTAATTTTTTATTCTAAATTTAGTTACTTAAACATATTATTAAAAAGATAATACCTATATTATTTTTATTATATTATTATATTATATAGATAAATATTATAATTTATCAGACTTAATAAATTTTATAAATTTAAGTTTAACTTTTTAAATAAATATTTTTTTTTTAAAATTAAAACTTAAATTTTTATTAAATAGATTATATACTTTTTTTTAAGGTCCTGCCTATTGTCTTTAGTCGCACACTTAATATAATCACTTGACTAAATAACGAAAAAGCTAGAAATATTAGATAACAATAAAGATCTGAAGTAATAATTTTAAATTTTGAAAAATATTTTTTTTCACAATATTAAAATCAAAACATCCTCAATTTTTTAGCAGAGTCAAAACATATTTAACTTGACAAATGTTATAAAAAAAAAGGTTAAATTACAGATAACAAAGTTATATATATATATATATATATATATAATTTTTTTTTAAATCACCTTGCAGTTAAAAAACAGAGGAATGAGGTCTTAATTTCTAGGGTTTGAAGCTGTTTGGAAAACAAGAGAAGAAAATGAGCGAAAACACAGAGACCCAGAAGCGTGCTGGTGAGACAGAAAGCAAGGACGACGTTGTTGAGTCGAAGAAGCCAAAGATCGAATCTTGCGAAAGGTATTCCGTTGACAATGGCACAAAGGAACCATCTTTCCTCGTTGAAGCGGATGCCGCAGAAGATAAGGGGTCCAGGCACACCATGGAAGATGCATCTGTCGTGCTTCTCGACGCAAGCTTAGATTACCCTGGAAAATTGAGGTTCTTCTTCACCCACCTCTTTTTGTTTATGGTGATTTAGTTTATATTGTTGTTGAAGTTTGTTAATTCCTGAAAGTTTCCAAAACGAGTAAACAACTACTTTGGTACTTGAATTTGTAATTACGGTTATATTAGTTCCTGAAAGTAAGAAATTGTAAAATTAGTTCCTAGAATATCAAACAAGTCATTAAAATTAACTATTTACTGTCATTTAGTCCTTAAATATATATCAACATTATTACTTTTGTCTTTTTGACTTTTGGACTAATGTGATTGTGAGTTTGTACTTTCAGGTACTAATTTTACAATTTTTTTCATAGACTAATATAACAACGCCTTACAAATTCCTTAAATATATATCAACATTATTTCTTTAGTCTTTTGACTTTTGGATTAATGTGATTGTGAGTTTGTACTTTTGGGTACTAATTTCTTAGTTTCATAGACAAATATAACTATGCCTTACAAATTTAGGGATCAAAGTGGGTGTTTACTCTTTTCAAAACCTAGTATCTTGTTTTTTGAAAAAAAGATAAAAAGGGTGTGATGTGAACTGCAATGTGTGTTACAATGAGGGGAACTGTCAATGATTTTCTGCAATGTCTTATTTTTAGATTAAGAAAGGATACTAAGTTATGGTCACTGAATAACTGAGCAAATTTTAACAGTTCCAGGATTTGCAATATATGTGCTTATTTTATTACACTGTCAATGGTGTATTATTACTATGCAATTTTCTTTCTTTAGATGGATTGGGTTCCTGCTTTACTTCATTATTTATGATATTCTTTCTTGGGTAATTTATGAGTGAAAATACATGTGAAGAAGCATGCTGCATATAACCACAATCAATCATAAGCTCTAGATGCATTAAAGTAATAATTTAAAAGATAACAAAGCCCTTGCTGAAGTTATTTTAAATGTTATATCGAGTTTTTATCCTGTTGTGCTTATCGGTCAGGATTCTGTTCATGCAAAAATTTCTATTCATTTACTAGTGGTGTGTGTTTGTGGAGTTATGATGTATTTTTTTCTCTCTGTAACTCTGGCTGTATAATTTTCAGATGTGCACACTTTGCAATTTATGATGGACATGGTGGGCGGTTAGCTGCAGAATACGCCCAAAAGCATTTGCATCAAAATGTTCTTTCAGCAGG